ATCGAATGCTCAGCCTTACAGTCAGAAAACAGTGTCAGAGACATTTTTCACGTCGCCACCCTGGCGTGTGTGAACAAAACAAACAAAAATGTGAAACGAAACAAATCTCAGAGGGCCACAAAGCGAATTTCACACATGCCTGGCAGGCCAGAACTGTCCACAGTGGCCACGGACTTGAGAAAGGACAAAGCCAAGAGTTGCACGGTGATGTGAAGGAGCTGGGATTTCCTGGAGGAGGAGGAGGAGGAGGAGGAGGAAGATCCAGGAGGGGTTGGAGCTCAATGAAGTCACAGCCCACAGGGTGTTTAATGAGGGCTTTGCCAGTGCTTTCGTGGAGATTTGTCCTGCTGTGTGAGACTGTACTTAAGGACTGGAGCAGCAGGAAGAAAAGGCTCTGAGAGAGGTGGCATCAGGAATTTCTGTTGAAGACAATGCCAAAAAAATAATAATAATAATAAAAGGGAAAACGTTTGAATGTGCTGAGAGAAGAGAGAATGATTGGGAAAATAACCCTGCAAAGGAGAGATGTGATGGACAGTGCTTGTTTCTTTTAGTAACGCTCTGCTCCTGGATGCTACCACTTTGATTTCATTCAAATAATACTTTCTTGGGATAATTTTTTTTTTTAATGAAGACGTTATTAATACGCCCTTCTCGTTAAGGAACTATCCCCGTGACCTTAGAGTTGATTTTCCAAAGGATTTGATCTCATATTTTTTTTTAGTAGCTGATTGTGAAAATGGAGAGGACACCGAGGCCACGTGTGTGTGTCACCTGGAGGAGAATTGTGGAGTTTTTGCCTTGCTGATCCACGGTGGGGATGAAGACAAATGTTTGAGGATTCCCAGCGTTCCCGTGGAGATGAGATGGAGTTTGTGGGGAGGGAATTGGGGACAAGGCAGCCCTGCAGGGCTCTGGCTGGGCTGTTCCTCGTTGTGCTTGTGCTGTGGAGTGCAGTTGGTGCCAGTGCCGGTGTTCTGTTGCTGTAGGTTCAAGTGGGAGGTGCTGAGAGCTGTGATGGCAAATGATTCCTTAAAGCCTTACTGCCCACCTGGGGGAAGCCCCAAAAACCCCCCTGGGCTTCTCCCAGGAGCTGGAGAGAGCCCATGGATCCTGCAGGAAGCTGCAGAGAAATGCTCTTCTGGCATGTGGTTCACTGCAAAAAAACAAAAAACAAAAATACCCCTCAAAAACCTGCAAATGAGCCAGCAGAGCCTTTTGTGGTGCTCCTCATTTTGGGGAGGAAAAAGGGGGTCTGAAGAACTGTGAGGCCTTAAGGGGTCCCCAGTGGGAACTGGATACTGCCCTTAGTTTTAGGATTAACACAAAAAAGTATCCAGCCCCCCCCAAAATCCTGAAATGGGGTGAACTGGTTTAGTCCAATCCCTTTTTGCTGTTGTTACACTGAATTAAATCAGCCTTTTCCAATGGTTTGCAACTCTTCCTGACTCACCAAACTTCTCCCAAAGGAAGGAGACAAAGCTCTGAGCAGGCTGGTTTTTGCTTGTGGAGGACAAGCATTTCATTCCCAATGGTGATGCTTCATTTTTGAAGTGTTTAAAAGCTCTGTTCACTCGTGCAAAGGTAAAGATGAACTCATAATTAAATCTCAGTTCTGTGTGTTCCCAGCACTTTGTTTCATCTGAGAAAAGAAGACAAATCTCACTCCCATTCTGGTTATTTCCCACAAAAAAAAAAAAATTAAAAAAAGACATTTTTGACCACCATAATAAGCTTTTAACTGATGCAACAGTGCTCTTAGGGCAGTATTACAAAATAGCTGGTAAGTGCTTCTTTCTGTATTTAAATATTGTGGAAAAATAAGTTATAACTGTTATAAAGCAGAACATTCATTACTTTTTTTTTTTAATTGTTGAAGTCACTTTGTATGTTTGGTTAATGTTTCTGCAGTATTTATTAAAATACCATTTTTTTTCTTTGAATTAAAAAACAAAAAAAAAAAGGAATTTTCTTGTAGTGGAAATGGCCTTTGTGTGGTAGTTCATTAATATTTGTGTGTTTTGGGGCATAATTGTGCTGGGGTTTGAATAGGAATCTTTCTCTTGCAACAGCCTTTTGGGCATTACATTTTCCACTTTGCTGTGGGTTCCTTCCCAGAGTTGTTTCCCAGAAATGCCAGAGGCAGAGCAGCAAAGCAAACACGTGGGGGTTGCTTTGCTTTGCCTCTCAGGCTGAATTTTCACATTTTCAAATTCAGTTTGCAGGTTGTTCTTTGCCAGGAAAACTCATTCCCAGCTGAGGGTTGTTCCTGATGCTGTCACTGCTGGGAGATCCTTGGAATTCTGAGTGTTCTTGGAATTCCTGTGTTCTGTTGGGACACAGAACCTGCAGCTCATCCTCCCCTCCTGAGGGCTTTCCCTGGTGTCAATCCAGGCAGGAAAGGTTGGAATTGTCTCTTTCTGGTGTTCTTCATCTCAGAATTCTCAGCAGTTCATCCATCTCCTGTTCCTTGGGACTGTGCTGATGTTCCCGATGACCCAGCAATTCTGTAGGTGCTGTAATTAACGAGTAATGAGTGAGGGGTTAATTAATTACCCAGACTCTCCCTGTTGTTGCCATCTGAAGGTGTGTTTGGTGTTTCCATCTGTTCCTGGTGCTACTGAGAGATCCTTGGAATTCTGAGTGTTCTTGGAATTCCTGTGTCCTGTTGGGACACAGAACCTGCAGCTCATCCTCCCCTCCCATGGACTTCTCCTGCTGTCAATCCAGCTTCACCCACAGCACAAGGAGGCCCAACTTCAGCAAACACCTGAAGGGAAGGAGCAGAAGGATAAATAAACACAAGGGCTGGAATTCCAGGGCTGGAATCCATGGCAGCAGCTTCAACTGGGGGTCCTGGGAGTGCCTTGGGGTGTACCAGGGTGGAGGGCGGAGGATGCTGAGTCAAGTGCTCTGCCATGAGAATGAAAAATCAGCAGTGACACCCTGGGACACCTGCAGGGAGCTGTGACAGTCCCTGGAGCAGGGAGGGAGAGAGGAGAAGGGAGGTTCTGGGCACCATTTTGCAGTGGCAAAGTGAAATTGGGCAGCATTTGGCCTAAGATGGCGGGTCCCCTCACGGGGCGGGCGCCATCTTGGCTGATTAAACTGGATGGGGGAATTGGATAAGAGGGTGTAGGAAGGAGGGTTAGGTTTGGGTGTCGCCTCAGAGCTGAGGACAAGGTGACAGAAACCACTGAGGGACTGGGAAAAGGGGATGGAGCCACATGAGACCCTCACCCTTTTTCCTACAACTCTGGCCCTCATGGCCTGATCCAGAGCACTGGGAATGTGTCCCCTTTCCTTGAGAATGTGTCCCTGGCTCGAGAATATGGCTCCTTTCCTCGAGAATGTGTCCCCTTTCCTTGGGAATGTGTGCCTGCCTCAGGAATATGTCCCTTTTCCTCAGGAATGTGTCCTGCTGCGAGAATATGGCCCCTTTCCTTGGGAATGTGTCCCTGCCTCGGGAATATTCCCCTTTTTCTCGGGAATGTGTCTCTTTTCCTTGGGAATATGTCCCCTTTCCTCAGGAATGTGTCCCTGCCTTGGGAATGTTTCCCTACCTCGGGAATATGGCCCCTTTCGTTGGGAATTTGTCCCTTTTCCTTGGGAATGTGTCCCTGCCTCGGGAATGTGTCCCTGCCTCGGGAATGTGTCCCTGCCTCAGGAATATATCTCTTTTCCTCGGGAATGTGTCCCCTTTCCTCGGGAATGTGTTCCCCCTCCTCGGGAATGCTGATGGCATCGTGCCGCACCATTTTCCAGAGAACAAAAGCAGATCCTGGCGCTGCAGGGCATTTTCTGCCCCCAAAGTCGGGACCTCCCAAGTCAGGGGGTTGGAGGTGGCTGTGCCGAGTTTCAGGTTACTCCGAGCACAGCCATTAACCTCATCCTGGCTGGAGCAGCTGCAGATGGGATTCAGGACTTGCCCTGAAGCAGACGTGACTCATTTCTTGTCTGGCGTGTAGGGAAATCCGTCAGTGCTGATGGGAGCAGCACATCCGTGACGTGAGAACGGGCTCTGCCCTCTGCCCTGCCCTGTCACCCGCTCCTGCCTGGCACAGCAGCACGGGTTTGCTGAGGTTTGTTTGCTCAGGAGGCGTTTGGTGCCCTCTGTCCTGCTCAGGAAGTGTTTGGTGCCCTCTGTCCTGCTCAGGAGGTGTTCTGGTTCTCCTTGTCCTGCTCAGGAGGTGCTTGATGCTCTCTGCCCTGCTCAGGATGAGTTTTGGTACTCTATCCTCTTAAGAAGTGTTTTGCTCTTTGATCCTGCTCAGGATGAGTTTTGGTGCTCCTTGTCCTGCTCAGGAGGTATTTGGTGTCCTCGGTCCTGCTCAGGATGAGTTTTGGTACTCTATCCTCTTAAGAAGTGTTTTGCTCTTTGTCCTGCTCAGGATGAGTTTTGGTGCTCCTTGTCCTGCTCAGGAGGTGTTTGGTGCCCTCTGCCCTGCTCAGGAGGTATTTGGTGTCCTCGGTCCTGCTCAGGATGAGTTTTGGTGCTCCTTGTCCTTATCAGGAGCTGTTTTGGTGCTCTCTGTCCTGATCAGGAGCTGTTTGGTGCCCTCTGCCCTGCTCAGGATGAGCTTTGGTACTCTCTGTCCTCTTAAGGAGGTGTTTTGGTGCTCTTTGTCCTGCTCAGGATGAGCTTTGGTACTCTCTGTCCTCTTAAGGAGGTGTTTTGGTGCCCTCTGTCCTGCTCAGGATAAGTTTTGGTGCTCTTTGTCCCGCTCAGGAGGTGTTCTGGTGCCCTTTGTTCCATTTTAGAGGTGTTCTGGTGTTCTCTGTCCTTCTCAGGATGTGTTTGATGCTCTTCAGCTTCTCCATGTCTTGCTGCTTTGGAATGTGATTTGGAGAATTGTTTACCCAGCATGTGAAATTTTTTTTTTTTGATGACCAATGACAGCCACCTCTGTCGAGGCTGTGAGCAGCCACAAGATTTTGTTATCATTCCTTTCCTTTGCTGGCCTTCTGATGTCTCCTTTCTCTTTTCTTTTAGTGTAGTTTTAATATATCATTTTCTTTTAATAAAATATAGATCATAAAATAATAAATCAGCCTTCTGAAACATGGAGTCAAGATTCTCATCTCTTGCTTCGTCCTGGGACCCCTGTGAACACCACCACCACATTTGGTGACCCCGAGTGAGGAACATTCCCACAATGTGCCACTGCAGGGACTCAACTGTGGCCTTTGTTGCCTCCTTTCCTTTGTCACAGAATCACACAATCACAGAATAATGAGGTTGGAAGAGACCTCTAGGATCATCAAGTCAAACCTGTGCCCTAACACCTCAACTCTAGTGCTAAGTGCCATGTCCAGTCTTTGTTTAAACACATCCAGAGATGGTGATTCCACCACCTCCCTGGGAAGAGCATTCCAGTGCTTTGTAGGGGGATAGAACATAAGTAAATAAAGGTAGTACAGAAAGTAATCTTACCCCCTAAAGAGTTGCAGCTGAGCCAGTTATGAAGGATTAGGAGCAGGCCTGATGTTAACAGGCTGTGCTGTAGCCAGTAAGAACAGTGTTATAAAAGAGTGGGTTGGTGGGAACTGGAGTCAGTTGGTTATTTTGAGGGCAGGGGAGAGTCAGTGCCTGGAGGAGCTGCCTACAAGAAACATCAAGGACCTATGAAACTCTAGCAATATGGAACCCTTTGTGATGTAATGACAATAGAACCTTTGCAATATGTTGACAACAGTACTTTATTATTCTTTCAGTGAAAAATTATTTTCTAATATCCAGCCTATCCCTTCCCTGCCATAGCCTGAGACTGTGTCCTCTGGTTTCTGTCAGTGCTACCTGGTGGAAGAGACCCATCTGTCTGCAACCTCCCTTCAGGAAGGTGTAGAGAGCAATAAAGTCCTTCCCATTGTAACCCCAACATCCCTGAGTGCTCCTCTCGTTCCTGACACGGCCAAGCATCCATCACAGAGGACATCAGAGGGATATTTCAAATTTTTGGGATGCTGCGGGTGTCGTCCAGTGACTTTTTGGGTGCCGAGGAGGGCAGAGATGAGTTTGGGGTGTGTGACCTGAGTGTCCCTGCGGGATGGGGGTGCCGGGGCAGCCCAGAGGGCTCAGCTGGTGCCGGCAGCATTCATGTGCAAAGCAGGGAGCGGCGCTGGGACCGCTCTCGCAGAACAGCCCGGGCTTCTCGGGGATGCTGCAC